AGTGGTCTGTATTCTGTCGAAACTGCCAGACGCGGATCGCGATTTCGATCTTTTTGGATCTCATCAGCGCGTCGCAGCCAGCTCCGACAGAACACAGACCAACCTTTACCTGCTGTCTTAACAGCGCGTTTTCGAAAATACCACAAATGGCGTGGTGAGCGCCATCTGTAGTACGATGCTACATTTGAGGATTACGTATGCTCCAACAAGGTCCAACCGGGATTAGTTTCAACAAGTAGATATCCATATTTTTAAATGGACCTTGTGCAATTCTGAAGCCAAAAAATTCCATTGGGGATTATTTTGTTGAATTAACGATGCAGTTGCTAAATGCAAATTTAGTAACTAAAGATTCTCGAAAAGGGCGCACGACCACTACATTAAAAAATAAATCAGCTAAAATCATTACACTTCCGCTATCGCATTCGCTTGCGCAAAAATTTACTATTTATTTCTGTTTACGCTTCTGTTTACGTTATGACATTTCCGTTGCACCGCGGCATATTTTAGTTTAAATCCAAGATCCGGTACATATACCTAATTTATATATATAATTTAATGTAATAAGTGATAAACCGAGTTCTCCTAGTTACTCTGCTTAAAAAAGTTCTTGAAACTATCTTTAGTTCTGTAACACAAGGACAGCTACTATTTATTAAATAATACATACACAGAAAATAAAAATATTTCCCAGAAAGAAATGAAATCCTAAAAAAAAAACTAATAATATAAATGCGAATGTGTTTGTTTATTTGTAGGCATGTCAGGCTTTAATTACTCAACCGATCATAATGAAATTTTGTACATTATTAGAAAAATACTTCAATGTGGACGATTTCACGCCTTAACTACACAATCGATAATCATGAAATTTTTTAGGTACATTGTTAGGAGCACAGAAAAGAATATAGATATAGAGATTACCTTTTATCTAAAAAACAAACTGTTCCTGAGGGATAAAAAAAATACAACGTGTAATTATACAACACGCTACTGAAGTGAAACTTCTTCAAACACACAAATATACCGGGATAGGGGTTAAGGATTTGGGTTTAATGGTATTATTCGTACACTATGAATTTAAATTTTCCACTATACATGCCGGAGTTGTCTGTAACGAACGTTGCATTGAAGCGTGCTCACGGCTCAAGCGATCCCCACTACGAACTCGACTACGTGGCTGAGTAGAAAGGGGAACTTCCGTTGCATGATTTCGTTACATAGCAACTTGCATGAAAAACTTACCCTACCGTGCGTAAAGAAGTTTCACTTCAAAAATTATTTCAATGTGGTCTATTTCACGCCTTAATTACTCAATCGATGATCAAGAAATTTTGTATACACATTGTCAAGAGTACAATAAAGGACACAGGGTATTTTTTATCCAGAAGAAAAAATGCTGTTTCCGACGGATAGAAAAAATTAGTTTTATCTAATCGTTGATGATTTTTGTGACATCAAAGCGAACGAAGCCGCAGGTAGAATCTAGTGGTTTATAAAGGGGAGAGACTCTCTTAAAGCATGCGATACGACGATTTATGACCATTTGAGCAGTCTATCTCTAACCGGTTCTGAGATAGCGTCCACCAAAAAACTCGAGGTAGATACAGCCTTTATGCGTGGAATGAGAATAAAACGGATGGTCTAAAACGTCTTTAAAGCATGCGACACGACGATTTATGAATTTTCAGAAGTCTATCTCTAACCGTTTCTGAGATAGCGTCCACCAAAAAACTCGAGGTAGCTACAGCNCTTCAAACTGTGGAAAAACAAATGTGATTATAGGACTTTTGGAGCAACCAAACGGTTTACGGTTTGAAAATGTTTATGTTTATTCAAAGTCGCTATATCAACCAAAATATAAATATTTAAATGAATTATTACAACCAATTGCTGGAATTGGTTATTTTCCGTTTAGAAATTCTGATGAAGTAATGGGTCCTTCACAGGCGGATCCTAATTCTGTATTCATCTTTTATGATGTTGCGAATGACAATCAGAGTAAGATAAGAGAATATTTTAGTATGGGAAGGTATAACTCAATCGATACTTTTTATTTAAATCAAACATATGCTCAGATACCTAAACATTTAATCAGAGATAATGCTAATTTAATAATACTGTTTAAACAAGACGAATTAAATCTGAAACACGTTTTTTCCGACCATGTTACTGCAGATATGACTTTTGACCAATTTAAAAGTATATGTGGAGAATGTTGGAAAGAAAAATTTGGATTTGTAGTTATTAACAAGGATTGTGGTATAAATGACGGGAGATATCGCATAGGATTCGATAAATATATATTACTGTAGGTAATATAAATGAAACCACTTGTTAAAAGACAACCATAACAACAGCATGGATGTGAAAGCAAAGAAAGAACTAATCAAAGTTAGGAAAGCAGTAAAGAGGAAACTGCAAATGTTAAAGGAATCGATGGTAGGACAGAATCTTCTATTGCAACAAGCTTATCAACCAATTACAAAATCGCTTCTTCACTTGAAATCTGAGTTGGGTGAAGAGATCAAAAAGGAATTAAAACCAGAGGTTGTTAATTGGTCGAAAGTTGATATTCCAGCATCATCAACTCCAATAAAAATTAGAAAACTTGATCCTTCGAATGCTCCAGCTACCATACTTCAAGGTCCTCCTTCCTTCTTAAGGGAAGAAAGTGTATATGAAGTTGACCCAAGAAGGGATGACAGTGAGTTCGAACAATTAAAAAAAGCATATATAGATTATATCAATAGCTCTCGATTTGGAGAATATTTGGAGGAATTCGATCCTCTACCTCGTGACTATATAGAGGGAATTATTAAAGACTATGAAGGTGATAGATTTAACACTGACGTTGTGAATCCCCGTCTTGACAAAGTTCGATACGAATGGGACACAAATAAATTTTTTATCGGTGATTCTGAAATAGATTTTGATGGATCAGACGTCGTAATCGATGGAAAATTTAAATACACAGGTACTGTGGGATTATACGAGCAACTGTTTAAATTAAGTTCTGAATATCCGACATCAATTAAAGAACGGAGAGACTATGCGGATATATTAAAACGTACGGGAGCAGTATACAATTTAAGGCAGCAAACAACGAAGCCTTCTAAAGGTGGAGGCTTATCGTTGTTGACTTACAACGAAAAACCGATAGAATACAAATATTTTGATGATGTTAATGAATTGTGTGATCGTTTAAAGTTATTGGTTGCTTCTCAACAAGCAGGCAACACAAATCATGAAAACGAAATGCAATCAATTTTAGAAGAGTTGCGGGAGTCTAATATAATCGAATAAACGATTTGTGGGGGTGGTTAGTTAGATAATGGCGATCGATAAGTTCGGACGTGCGTTAGAAAAAAAACGATCATATTCGCGAGCATTTAGCAATGTTCACGATTTTAATCATAACCGCTTAACAAGAATCGGGGACCCTCAGCAGGAGCATGATGCTGTTAATGTACGATTTTTGGAGAAGAAGCTGAAACTTCTTTTATCTCAAGATGATATAGTGAATATTAGGAAGGCATTCGACAAAGTATTATATTTTGTTGACGTGGCTAATAAACGTATTATACACTTGAATGAGCCTACAGCTGGCTTTCATGCAGCTACAAAAAAATATGTAGACGAAAAGGATAGGTTAACAAAAGAACATATCAGAATAGAATGTGAAAGAGTAAAGGATAGCGCTGTCAGTGAAGGAGATAGAAAGATGAAGGATTTACGAGAAGAATTAAAAACACTTGTCTCCAAAAGTAATCAAAAGATGATGAAAACATTTAATGATAAAATGGATATATTAATTAAAAATATGGGAAGAGAAATTGAAAATTATAATAATGATAGAGATAAGCAAATAACAAAAATGGTTAATGATGTGATAGAAAAGAATGGCGTCATAATCATGGACACCCTTTCAGCAAAAATTACATTGGAGTGTAAAAATGTAGAAACATTTGCTAGAAAAGGTGACGAAGAATTGTCGAAGAAACTAAAGAGCGACATTGTGACAAACATGAAAAGAGATATAGATGTGAGTGTCGAATTAATAAAGACATTGATTAAAGATGAGTGCAAGAAAGTTATGGAATTTGCAGAGAAAGAAATTAAAGTAAGCAATAAAAAGAAAGAAGACATGGAAAAGGAGTTAGTGAAAATGGTGGAGTCATTAAAAAAAGAAGCAAACGATCTTAAGGTAAGATTGGATACTTTAGAAGAAACAGCAGCTGGAAATACAAAATCGAGCAGTTCTAAACCAACAGAGGCATCGTCTGTGTAGTTGTCGTCAACAGAAAGGAATGTCTGACGTGAAAGAGGAAGTTGTGAAAGAACTGCATAAACCTGCAAGAATTAATTTCTCACGCCGTAAGGTAGTTGTTAAAGGATTGGATGATCTACATCAAGCCGATTTAGTTGAAATGATTCCGTATGCGAGAGAAAATAAGGGTTTCCGATATATTTTAGTTATAATAGACGTTTTCTCAAAATTTGTATGGGCTCAAGCAGTAAAACGGAAAACAGGTGAATATGTCGGTAGAGCTTTACAGTTAATTTTCAAAAGAAATAAACGTATTCCTAAGAATATGCAAAGAAAGCATCAGCTATGGAACGGGTAAATCAAATGCTAAAATCAAAAATGTGGCAGCGCTTCAGCTTAGCTTCAAGTTAGTTAAAGACAAAGCGTTATTGTAACGTTTATTTTAGCACATGAGAGTATACAAACAATAGTAAGGATAAACGTTTAAAATATAATATGGAAGCATTATTTGCATATACACATATAGCTTATACGCTTATTATTATGTAAGGTTTTCATAAATATTATCAATAGATTCTTCTGGAAGTGAAGAAGCTTCAAAAAGTTTATGAATAAAATATTCCCCAACCGTTAAATTGTCTGTGTGCGGTTAATTAAAATTTTGGATTAATTGATCAATTTTGCTATTCAACTTTGAGACAGAATGTTCAGAGTTTTTTATATTGTAATGTCCCCACGGAAGCGTATTAGTTGTTTTCGGAATCAAGAAACGTTTATCGTCTTTAGGGCAAAGAGCTACTTTAGTTTTCATTTGAGTGAACATAGTATGAAGGTCAGAAACAAAAACATTCATACATTTTATAATGGTGGAATCGTCCCTAATAACACGAAGGTAATCGTCAATTTCGAGATGTAATTTAATAACGTTTTTCTTAACACCTTTAGCTTTTTTAACAATTTGATCAATCGCTTCAACACAGTAAGCTTTAGCTCCGGTTCCATAAAATGCCTTAATAGGATTATTAGGGAACTCATCTTTGAATTTACCGATAACAGATGAGGTAATGGGGATATTGAAACTATTCTCGCGCGGATAATTGGAAGTATCGAAGTGATTAATATTTTCAGTAATGTCTCGGTAAAAGTTTTCAGTGAACACTTTCAAAATGAAGGAATCGGTATCCATGTACATCAAGGAAATGTTGTGTTGATATTTTCGTTTAAGAAAGGTGTAGTAGAAGTCGTACATAACAACTTTTGATAAATCTAAGATAGTAAAACCAACGTAGAGAGGTTTATCGTAAATAATACGTAATTTATTCATCTGAATGGCTACGAAATTGGGAGTGAATATCTTAGAATTTTTGAAATTAGGTTTAGCTATTAAACTTTCCGCACCAAGAAAGCGTCCAGAATTTTGCCAATGAGTGACTAATTTTACATCAACTCGTTTATCAACGTTCTCCATTGTTTTTCCGAAAACACTATTGTTCATTAATTTGAAGAAGGATTTCCCAAATTTATTTTCAGACAAATTACGTTGTCGGGTATTTAAATCGATGAAAGGTTTAAGCCAGTGGGACTGTTTAAACTGAATAACTCTGTGAACTTTAAGTAATCGTAGTCCATTATGAAGGGCTTGTTGAAGCGTAAGATAATGAAGAACATATTTTGTCTTATTCATAAGGTTCGGTATCAGTTTTTTGACTTTACCATTCACATTAGCAGGAGAGATAATGTTTTCAACTAAAAAGGGGAGATCAGCATGTAAATCATGGAGGTGTTGGGGATATTCAACATCTACTTCAAGTACGTAACCGTATTCAGAAGAAGCATGTAAAGAGAGAACATTCAATTCATCAATTTCGGCTTGGGTTAGCCAACGGAAGTGGGAAATAGGAAGTGCTTGACTCATACTATGTCCATACAAATTAGTAGCATCCAAATACATAATGTAGGAGGTAGGCGCGGACGCGTTGTAATCGGGGATGTGAGGGTTGTTAGCGAAGTGCATTCTTTGAACGCATTGACTTATTCCTCCACGTACCCCTTTTTGAAAAAATTTTAACATATCGATATCAGTCAGAAGTTGTAAACTAACGCGAGTGAATTTTAACATACTATCCCACGCAAGCCCTGGCGCTGTGTAATACTGAGCAGGATCTAAGTCGTAAGTGGTGAGACATATTTGTCGGAAATTCTCGAAAACATCAGCTAGCAAAAGAACATCTGTTTTCAAGTAGATATCGGAGTATTCTCCTAGAGTTGAACATGAAAAAGTATTCCAAACAGTTTTAGCTCTTTTGTAATCGTCATCGGAAACGGGGAGGGAAGTCAATTTATCGAAGAAATCGTCTTTCTGTGGAAATGTTGTTTCATCAAGCTTAGCAACATCATCAACGTAGGAATAAGGGAAAACACCTTTTCGTCGCATAAGTTGAAAGTGATTAGGATCGGGAAAGTATTTTTTCACTTGCAAACATTGATGAGCATCAAGTTCATCCGACAGCTTGTCGAGGGAGGAAGCCATGAAACGATAGGAATCGAGAAATCTAATCTTCACGAACACATTTTGTGTTGAGTCGTCTGTTTCAGTTTGAACCGTATCAACTCGTAATAATTTGGAAAAGGATATGTATTTTTCTTTATTTTGAGCTATTACGGTAAATTTAACATCGTTCACAGCCATTTCCTTTAGAAACAAGTGGCAATCATATCCGGAGAGGTTGTGGAAAAAAACAGGTACAAAGTTGGGTAGTTTGTAATTTAAATTACATCTGGAGTGAGCAGCTCCTAATCGAACTTTACCGGTCAAATGACAATGATCATGCACCTTGACGTCATCGTCCAGAAAGGGTTCTTCGCAAATATTGCAAGAGGTAGCGTCAGAGAAGAGACGTATTTCTTCATCTGTCAGGGGTATCATGGGAGAAACGATCTTCAAATATCGATGATAAATATCATAAACATCTCGATCGAGAGTTGTAACGAATTGATTGGCGCAATCGGGGCCTCGATACGATCTGAATTTCGAGAGGGAATCATCGAAGGAGCACTTCATCAAATAAGCAAAGGAATGAGGTTGATGTTTGTGGGTGGATGTGGTGGCAGTCTTATTAGGGTCATGAAAACATGTGTGAATTGGTCGCAATACGGTTTCAAAGTCTGCGTATACAACAAATGGTACTTTAATACGTTTCTAATAATTTTCAAACTTTAAAATGTGATTGGGGACAAACCTACCCATCTTATCCATCTTGAAATCACCGTTGGGAAGGCTGGTGTAGACATGATTACAGTCATGCTGCTGATGACGATGTAGGTGAGGTAAAGTGGAGAAGTATTGTAGGCAACCATCACACAAGAATTTGCGATGTCCAGTTTTAGAAAGTTGTTGAGAAAGTAAACGGGACATGTCCTTTATCCAACAGTGATGATTGTTTCCTAGATCATAATCGAGCAAGAGCAGCCGTCGCTTGATGGGTGAGTAGTAAAGGGGGCCAACGATTTCCCATGTCCACTTTCCATCTTTGAAAACGGATTCAGTCCCGTAGACATTCACAGAGCTATGGTTCTTCGATTCAAATTTCTGTATGTCAGTTAATTTCATAGGAAGTCGTAGTCCAAAGTGTGGGAGTAATGTGGAGAGGAAGTAGTACTTTGCGGGTTCGCTTGCGCGGGATACGGAGCTGACGTAATTGCCCATGCGAAGCAGGCCTGATCGTCGTTTCGCACATTCACAACCGCTTTCTTGAATAAAATTTGTTTCGGTAACGGAATGTGGGAAGACGCTCTCAGCGGATTGTACTTGTTTAAGTTGATTTCAAGGAAAAGAACCCTTTCTAAAATCCATCCTGTAGAAATGGGGAAATGTTAAATGAAATGAAACGTATACTAAAAAAGGATGAGTTACCTGACTCTCGTTCTTGAAACTCTGACGCTTTAGCCTCAAGTATCTCAAAGAAGTTTTGTAGAAGATTGGGAAGATCGATGGATCGAGTCACAACTTTGTTGTTGGTATTGAAGGACTTAATTTCAACCAACTGTTTGGTTTCGTGCACGTAACGTCCAAAAACTTCGAGATTTATTTTAAGCGTGTCGTGGAGGTGGATCTGATTACGTATAACACGCACGCATTTGTCAGAACATCGGTGAAGAAGTCGTTATACGATAGAAGGTATTTCGCGGACGTAATACAAAACGAAGCAATCCTGCTAGCGAAGGCAGAGGAAAGGAAACCGATTCCCTCCTCAAGAGGTGAACAACAATTTTGTTTATGCTGTAGGGTGCGCAGGTCACCGTTGTACGAAGATTGAGGAACATATATTTTACACGTTTCACACCAGCGGTCGGAAGAGGTGGCAGATGTAGCACATTTCGGTTTTTTATTCGGTAGCGAGGAATTAGGATGGTACTGTACTCGTTTACGACATGAAGCTTTCTGATGTCGTTTTAAATTATCAGATCGCGTAAAGGACGTATCGCAGTCGGGACAACGAATCATATCGGTTAGATGTAACAGAGGTGTCTCGAGAAAGACTGAGGAAGACCGTGTGCGAAGTAGATTTAACAATGTAAAAAATCTGAAGGAGTGGGAGAAAATTAAGTAGATGAGGGTTGTGAGGGTGGTGGGGTGGTTTGAAGATATTTAAGAGGCATGTATAGAGGAAAAGATTAAGTGAAATGGCTGAATTGGGACAGTGTGATGCGGCAGATGCGTCAGTGATTAGCTTGGACGAATCGGAGCTGTCAGCGATGCTGGAAGAGTTCTTCCACAACGATGAGTTGGTGACGAAGACAGTCGGTGGAGAAAAATCATGTGTAGGAGATGTAGCTACGGAAAAGATAGCAGTACCTGTGGCTAGTACATCGCGGACGCCGGTAGGGGGCGGTAAATCCGTAAGTATGAAGCCTAAGAAGCGGACATACAATAGAAGAGTATCGAGCGGTCCGCTGGATTATTCAAAGCTGGTGGAGCAGGTGCGAGAAGCAGTGAAGACACTTCAACGGGAGAAGCGAAAACGGGAAGGTGAAATAAAGGACCATGACATGAAGGACGCTTCAGTTTTGGAACAAATAAAGCGGAAAGAGAAAGAGTTGGAGGATCTGAAGAAAAGTCGTGAAAGCAGCTGTAGAATGGTGGTGGAAGGTAGAAAGAGAGTGGAAGAGGTGGAGCAGAAGTTAAATGAATTGCAAACACAATTGTTGAACATATTTAATTAATATTGTAAATATAGTAATATAAAATAAATGATTGTATTGTAAGATGATTTTATTTAATAATTTTCTCTTGGAGGAATGATGATGTGTAATTCATTTATATATATATCTGTGATTGAAGAAATATTATTGTTCAATACTTTCAAGATTGTAGATGTATGGAAAAATAAAAAGAAGATGTAGTTGTTATAAAGTTTATTATATATAAGTTACACATATATTATAAAAAAAGTAAACCTTGAATTATAAATACTACATTAATTAAACTAACTTATATTATTAAATACTACATTAATTAAACTAACTTATGTTATTAAATAATGTGTACATGTTTAATTAGTAAAATGCCGTACACGACATAGTGTATTGTCCCGCTCCCAGCTGCTTGGACGTCATGGAGGTATTGTTCTATCTCCTGACAGAACAGAACGGGTCTTTTCGTAGTGGAAACGGCCTATGTTGTTACCGCTTCATTGGAATCGGTCCAAGCATCACTGTGGACGATGGTAAAGGGTGCCTTGGTAGTTTGCAGTGCTGTACCTTTAAAAATTATGTAGTAATACATGATGATATGTTGTAGAGCAGAAGTCTTCTGCTGAAGGAATAGAAGATGTGGGAATTTATATGATTTGGAGGAGTGGGGTATGAGTAGGGTGAGATGAATTGGAGGAGGAAGAAGAGAGTGGGGGTAACGAGGATCTGCAGAGTTCTTAATATGGAAGGAAAAATGTATTGTGTAATCAGTAAAGGTGTGAGCAGCATGGGATTCGTTTGTAGAACATCGTGGTTCGAGAACCGCTCATTAAGATTATTTAATAGTATAGAAGTCAGTGCGCTACCTATATTGTATCGCACAGACTTCGGAGCGGACGTATGTGAGGACGAGTGGATACAGTCATGGCGAACTGGTTTAAATATTGAGAATAATTACCGACAGTTTTTGCCAGTCAACGGTGACAGATGCGATAATAGCGAAAGACGTATAAAGAAGGGTTATGTGCAGCATAAATATACGATGGAAAATAATTGCTCATTGGAACATATTCTGAGACGTAGTGTGTGTGACAACATTAACGAATACACGTGTACCGAAGGGAAGGTGTTGTTAAACTTACATGAAAATACAACGTTGGTGTTGTGTAGCAGTTGCTACGAAGAAGACGGTGTAGGGGAGGAGGTTTGTAAATGTGAGGATTTAGTGTTCGTGTTCGTATTACATGTTCACGGTAGACATCATCACCATTGTTACGAATGCGGAAGACCACTGACAACAGGAGATATGTGTGATGCAAGTATACTGCAGCCAGGCTTCACGGGGGATTCATCGACAAACGTAAAATTACAGATTGTAGAATTATTGTTAGGTTGTGTAAGAAACGGTACGTATCGATGTGGTGGTAGGACATCTTTTCCAAACGATGTGAAAAAAGGAAGTTGTTCGATGTAGATTGAGTGAGGCAGAAGATAGTGGAAAGAGGGGAAATTATAGTGTTTAGTAAAGTGGTTGAAGCTGATAATGTAGTAAATGTGTATTTCATAAATATATTATAAATAATTAATAGTTGATAGTATGTTATTAATTTACACCACACGTAAATTGGAAGGCAGTTTACAGAAAATTCATGCGCGTAGCTTCGTTGAGTGAACAACCATACTCGCGAACTTTCGTGACAAAGATTTCTGACGCATGCGTATACGGAGTACGTGAGCACAACATTAGCTCATGGGGATTAGCATGATAGAGTAATCGACGCATGCGTAGTACGCGAAAACGCAGGTGTTAACTGTGCAGATGACGTCACGTCTGCAAACCACATTCCGATGGTGGTTGAGAGGCGGAAAACTTGTTT